TTTTCACCCTAATCACCAGGGATGCAGAATATATTGGTGACGCTATGCAAAACTCTGACGCCACAAGAAACACCTTGTAATGGGTGCTGAAAGTTCTTCCTCCACCTCTGGCTCCACCAAGTGGCAGTTCCTCTCCCTCCTTCCTTCTCTTCTGCAGGTGAGGTGAGTGAGGTGTGTGTATGAACCAGCGTGGGCAGGTGCAGCTGATCAGTCATCACCAGACGGGTTCCAGCCGTGGTGGGGAGTGGACCTGGTCTATCGCCAGTGCCACACTCATTTCAGCTGCCATAGAAGACACCAGCAGACCACGACACAACGCTGGACCGTAAACTATGATTCAGTTAGTTGACCCTGCAAGGTGGCTCGGTGCTTAGCACCGTTGCCTCGCAGCAAGAAGGCCGCCAGTTCGAGAACACCCGGGATCTCAGTGATTAGTTTAATTGACTCAGCAAAGTCCACTGGGGCTGATCAGCTGGATCCAAGGCTGCTGTTACTCGCAGCTGAGTGTCTGACTTATCTTTTTAATCTAGCTATTTTAAGGGTGAAAACTGCAGCACCTGTGTGTTCAGCCTCAGGCACCTTTGAACAGTAAATACCATCGATTTATCTGCAAAATGCTGTTTTTTTATAGCTTTGAGCTACATACCAAGATAAGATTTCTCTTTTACCTCCTTTTGCATGCACACATTGTAGAGGACATCTCAAACTACCAGAGAGGAATGGTTGGATATGGGCCTGTTGAAGAATACTGTATATTGCATAACCCTGTATTTCCTGCTTTCACATTCCCAAAGTATTCAAAAGTCACAAAGTTGGTTTTGCTGTGTTCGTTGGTGATTTACTGTGTCCCTGCAGGTCAACATTCAGTCTCAACCATCTGGCATTAAAGACCATTTTAGATGTATTCTTTCAGCTGAAAACCTTGTGGTGTTTTCAGAGCCAGCAAAGAACAAATATAGAAACATATTAATATTGAAACAAGTCTTGATATAAGACTTTAGTGTCTTATTTAGTTTCTGTCTTAGGATTATATGGCAGGTTAGGCATTCAGTATATGTTACCATGGTGAAGTGAACCTATGTAGTACTACCAAAAACTAAGAGTTTAACCTGAAGAAACCAAAACCAAATCCTGCTTCGTAGTAAAAACCTCAGGTAACTGGTAGAGAACCAGCATTGGAAGCAACACAAGTATTTCAATCGATTTCCTATTTAAGCAGCTTCATGTTAGCTCAACAGAAGTGAGAGTGAAAGATCTTACAGAACATTTAGATTAGTTTAGATGCGGTACGCACAAATTTATTGTTTCAAATTTCTTTAAATTTAATATCAAATCACGTTG